GCTTGATCCCTGTGGGATTTAGACTGTTGGTTTGAAAGATGAGCTTTTGTTCAAGATTTTTATGGCTTTCCGTATTACCTAAGTGTAAGGAAAGACCACAGATTGCCATATGTTGCTGGCACTACTAGAGTTTTATAAAACTCTAGTAGTGCCAGTGTTACTCTATGGATCTGAGACATGGAAGATGAACAAAGGAGATGATAAAGCAGCAAATGTATTCCATAATAGGTGCCTATACAGAAAATTACTAAATATATTAACGTAAAATGAGTTTTTGGGAGTGAAAAGTTTAAGGATTAACTGATGGTCCTTTTCCTTTTTATTAGGTCCAGCTCCAGAGGCAATCACCAATGAGATTTTCTCAAAGACAAAAACAATAAAATCATACAAGATCTGTCATGATATTACTGTTGATCCTGACACTATTGGAAGCCAATCTTGGGAGGTAGAAGGACGTAATTTCATTGTGACGATTAGAGACTCAGTGGAAGATTACACATTGCTCATGAAAGAGATTTTTGACTTTGATCTGTTGAAGAAATTGATTGCTGGAACGGAAGGTCAAGCACCATTCAAGTTTGTTGCCAGTGCTATGTATGGAGGTGGGTTTCACAAGGAAAAGAAAAGTTTCTTTTATTCGTAGCCTAAAATAGTTTGGTTTATCGCCTGTGTTGACAACTCCAAATTGACCTCTGTAGAAACACTCTGATTATGGTGGCCAATTTTCTTCGCCTAAAACTCAATCTTCCAGATTTTAATATTACTTGGGAATGGTAAATGAATCCTGTAGATTTGCCCATTCAAGTAATGAATCAGTCTAATTTATTAGCTGATGTATCTCCTTTTTTTGTTTTTTTCCATCATCAGTGACTGGTCCATATTTGAAGAAAATCTTCTGTCAAGAACTGGGCACACCAGAATCATACACCTTGAAGTGTGAACCAAAAGAAGATTTTGGGGGTATGTGAGGCTTTTTCAGTTATCCTTTGCTTACAGGGGGCCTTGGCACTTGACCTCAGGCGTCATAGAAATAACATGTTGCCCTGGACTTTGATTAGATGCTAGAAGTTAGAAATTGGTGCATTCAATTATCTAGATGCAGATTGAAACAGCATTAAATCATGTAATGTGGTCTTAGAGCACAGTTACTATCATAATGGTCTTTAAAAGCCTTGTTGGTGGTGGAACTACTCATCCAGAAGTCAAGAAATACTATATTATATATACTATACTTCTAGTATAGTATTTTTACTGTTTTAGAAGTATACTGATTAAAGATTAAAGGAATACAAATTAACTTTCCTAAGATTTCTCCTGTGATCTGTGAATAAGCTATGTTTGGGGTTAATTGTTTGCTTTCAGGCCATCATCCTGATCCTAATCAAACATATGCCTCTGATCTCGTGAACCTGCTTAAAAAGGGAGAACATCAACTGGGAGCAGCCTTTGATGGCGATGGGGTAAGAACATCATAAGAGTAATTTTTATTATGGGGAGAAGTAACATGTTTAGTTTAGTATAGTTAAGTTTAGTTTATTAGCTTTTCCGACAGTCAGGGACGCTGCAACAGCTTGCGCCAATTACTGCGGGCCCAGTAAACCCACCCATCCCACCCCAGGGGAGGACATCCACCACACAGTAATCTCGTGCGTGGGAAATTAATTTCTCCTACCCCTAACCCTGCAGGGAACGGGGTCTACGGTTTATTCATCCTTATCCGAGAAGACTAGAATATCTATCCATTTCTTGATATTATAGAAAGGTAGCAAATTCTCCTCAGTTATTTTAAGACCATGAGTATTGTTCTGGCCAGGGCCATGTCTTGAAAGGTCGACTTACCGCTATACACAGGTAAATACGGTAATAACTAGCACTTTCCTTTGGGTTTTTAATGTTGGTCTGTAGGTGGCAAAAATTCTGCCAAATTTTTGTGATATACTGTGGTCTCATTGACATGTACAGTGCCTATATTATTCCACAGGATCGTAATATGATTCTTGGGGAAAATGGATTCTTTGTGACCCCATCAGATTCTGTTGCCGTCATTGCTGATAATGCCAAGTGCATTCCATACTTTGTCAAGACAGGATTGAAAGGTGTGGCCCGTAGCATGCCAACAAGTGCTGCTGTGGACAGAGTGGGACAGAAAGTTGGAGTTGAATGCTTTGAAGTTCCAACTGGTGAGGCCTGCTCTCTATGAATCAAGCCAATTCACCTGATCAATCAGAAATGATTAATCTTGTGAACATTTTTAAGATTGGTCAATCTTGCCCACCAAGGGCTGCCTGCTATATAAGAAATGATCATATTAGTTGCTTTTCATCACACATTTATGACTATTAGACTCCTGAAGCTTTCTTGTCCTTGCTCAAACACTTTTGATCCCTTGGTGACAGGCATGAGACTTACGTGTATGGTGTGTATGTAATATTAAATTAAGATACCAAACATTTAATAGCAACACTTTTACTCCTGTAAGCAATATTAGTTTTGAATTAATCAACAAAGTTGAAATGGTAAATTGGCCACCGTTACGATTATAAAAGCTGACGTTTCAAGCGTTAGCCCTTTGTCGGAGTGAATGGGGGAATTGTGGGTTGTGTGTGCTTTTAAAGGCAGAAAAAGGAGCTATGTGATTGGTGGGAACATGGCAACGAGAAAAACACGAATAAATTAGTGGAATGAAAAGCATTCATTGATACCTGTGAGATTTAGACTGCCGGTTTGAAAGATGAGCTTTTGCTCAAGAGTTTTCCCGCTTTCCGTGCTACCTAAGTGTAAGGAAAGACCGCAGATTGCCATGTGTTGCTTAGAACAGTGGCCAATTTACCATTTCAATATTAATTTTGGTCAATATTCTGTTGTGAGATACAATGAAATATATGAAGTTCATATATTATGTACTGCGGTATTAGATACATATGATGCACGATCCTCGCAGTAGATAGCGCTATTTAAGCAATAGCGAAAATCAGACCTGAAAAAATTCAGGCCTCTACGGGATTCGAACCACTGACCTCTGCAATACTAGTGCAGCGCTCTACCAATTGAGCTAACAAGCCAACTGGGAGCAGGCCGTTAAGTTGATTCGTAATAAACCCGTGAAAGGGATAAATGAGATACAATGAAATATATGAAGTTCATATATTTTGTACTGCAGTATTAGATACATATGATGCACGATCCTTGCAGTAGATAGCGCTATTTAAGCAATAGCGA